AGTCCTTTCCCGTCAATTGTTATAAATAATCTAAAGTTTATTTTATTACTTCATTTTAATTTTTAACAGTTCTCTCCTGGATGTAGTTTCATATTTCTGTGGTAGAGAGTGGACCAAATTATTCTAAAGATCTTTTTCAACTCTTAAGAATGCTAATCTAGAATGAACAAAAATATAGATGATTAAATATAATTATGTCTTTTAATGCTTTAACAAGTTTTCCTAGATTTCTTTTACAGAACTAAAGTACATATTAAGAATTATACATACATAAATATGATATAGATGTCTTGCTTTATCCTGTAATGTGAATACTATCATATATAAATTATGAATGGACATATTCCTGTAACCCAAATTTTCAGCATTGTCTTTAATTTGATCACAAAGTTTTCAAAATATGACAGTGATCAATATTAGTGGAAGATGGATTAAATAATTGAAATATAGTTATATATTCATTTTCTTTTTGGCAATTTATCCTCATCCCTTACTTGTCCCCCGACCCCTACCCATACCTAATTGATTTGCTTTGTATACATTCCTTGTGTGTTCACTTGGCTTTTTGTTTTTTTAAAATCTGTTTTCCTTCCCTTTTGCAGAATGATTATCAGCCTAGCTGTGGGCGGTCTTTACGAAGGACACAGCGCAAGCGTCAGCATACCTATCAAACTCGGTCCAACATAGAGCATAAGAATTCGCAAGTATCATGCCAAAATTCAGGTGTACAGGAAGACTCAGAAAGCTCCTCAGAGGTTAGATATCTGCTGTTATTTATTCAATGTGATTTTTTGTTTCCCAGTTTGTATCATCCATTTGGGTTCACTGTTAAGAGTCACTTCTTTAATAGAAAATTATTTAGTGATTTTCACATAAGGGGTTTATTAATAAGACATTGAATAGGCAAATCCGAGCATAATAGTGAATTCCTTTAGATGTCCTCTCTGATTTGTACCTCAGATGTTATCTTGATGAGGGTATCAAATATGTCAGCAAGTGTTTGGCTTTGAGACAGTGAGAGAAGAGAGTAAGGGGTAATCTGCCTAGAAATGGAAAGAAATGGAATATAAACAGTGATAATAAGTTATACAGACCCAGAACTGGTTGCCTGTGATCAACATATAGTATACACATTTTCTTTTATTATTGAGTTCACTCCTTACAGAGATCATTGAGTGTTGATTTTTCTCAGACCTGCCTTTTTCATGGTAATGACTTTTATAACAATTATTTTCTTCTGTTCCTCTGTTCTCCAATCCTTTCCTTTTGTTTTCTTAACAACTTTAGTTGTTAAGTTCATAATGGGGGGTTAACCATGCATTGACAATATATGGTATTCCTATTCTTTTCCTGCCAGTCACAATTCTTAAACTAACTCTTATCAAAGATGCCTCCCCTTCTTCCCTAGCCATGGAAATTTTGATATTAAAAGAATGATCAACATTCAGGGATTGACGCTACCTTTTTAATGTAACGTAACAATGGCATTGTGGTTGTGCTTTTAAAAATAATACTAATCTTGGCCGAGCATGGTGGCTCATGTCTGTAATCCTAGCTCTCTGGGAGGCCGAGGCGGGCGGATTGTTTGAGCTCAGGAGTTCGAGACCAGCCTGAGCAAGAGCGAGACCCCGTCTCTACTAAAA